AGAAGTCCCTTTCATTTCACAGTGCCACTCAGCTTCTCAGCGTGGCTTGGGGAGTAGGAAGAGGAAGGGGTGTGGTTTTTAAACCCTCATTTAACTCCAGCCGAAATCTCCTTTGTGGGCAGTCTTCCAGAACTGGATGCCAGAGCAGAACTCCAAGGCTTGGGGGCTGCAGATGGGTTGTCGCCCTGCTCCCCAGCCTGGCCCCGTGGGCAGCAGGAGCTGGCGTTGTGAACGCTGCCTGTGCCCAGGCCAGCCAGCAGGGCGTCTTCAAGGGCAGGTACAGATCCACTGTGTATATGTATTCTCAAGTTTACATAGATTGTACATATGGACATGTAAATGAACTGTAACACAGCAATCTCTATTTTTCATGAAATTATATAGCAGTATATATTTGTTACACATGCTTGTATACTCTTCATTAACCATTTTGATATTTTGTACAGATAAGTTGATTAAATATTTTATTGATGAAAAGGCTCCTGTCCGGTCTCTGGAGAAGTACTTTGACGTGTTGTTCTGTGTTCGACTCCGCAGCACGTCAGCCGTCAGCCAGGCGTGAGGATGACTGCAGTACCAGGGGGCTGCCTGGTGCTCCGGGTCCACTGGTCTTTACACTTGTCATTGCCCCCGAAACACGTCAGGCATGGGGCTGCTGCTCCCTGGGTCTTGTGACTCGTGTGACACTGCACAGGACGTATGTGCAGCCCCACTCTGTGGGACATCACTGCATCCGAAGGTAACATGTTAATCCTTGTAAAAAAGCATTAACTTTTCATTGGGGTGAAACACTTCTGGCGAAAAGACCTAAAGTGATGCAAATATGATTTTTTGTCACAGAAGCTTGGATTCAGGGGAGAAGGGGCTAAAACACAGTGGAAAACACTTTCTCTTTGGAAAAGGAGCACCGTCACCTGTAAGGAGAGAGTGTTGCCGTTGCCAGCAGTTGGGTGCAGAGCTTCTCCATTTTCACATACAGCTGCTGCTGTGGGACCTGTATTAGTGCAGGAGAGGAGCAGCATCAGGAGCAGGAGAAGAGCAGGAGCAGCATCAAGAGCAGGAGAAGAGCAGGAGCAGCATCAAGATCAGGAGAAGAGCAGGAGAAGAAGCAGGAGAGGAGTAGGAACAGGAACAGGAGAAGCAGCAGGAGAGGAGCAGGAGCAGGAGAGGAGCAGGAGAGGAGCAGGAGCAGGAGCAGGAGAGGAACAGGAGAGGAGCAGGAGCAGGAGAAGAGCAGGAGAAGAAGCAGGAGAGGAGTAGGAACAGGAAAGGAACAGGAGAAGCAGCAGGAGAGGAGCAGGAGCAGGAGAGGAGCAGGAGCAGGAGAGGAACAGGAGCAGGAGAGGAGCAGGAGCAGGAGAAGAGCAGGAGAAGAAGCAGGAGAGGAGTAGGAACAGGAGAAGCAGCAGGAGAGGAGCAGGAGCAGGAGAGGAGCAGGAGCAGGAGCAGGAGCGGAGCAGGAGAGGAGCAGGAGCAGGAGAGGAACAGGAGCAGGAGAGGAGCAGGAGAGGAGCAGGAGAGGAGCAGGAGAGGAGCAGGAGCAGGACAGGAGCAGGAGCAGGAGAGGAGCAGGAGAGGAGCAGGAGCAGGAGAGGAGCAGGAGAGGAGCAGGAGCAGGAGAGGAGCAGGAGAGGAGCAGGAGCAGGAGAGGAGCAGGAGAGGAGCAGGAGCAGGAACAGGAGAGGAGCAGGAGAGGAGCAGGAGCAGGAACAGGAGAGGAGCAGGAGAGGAGCAGGAGAGGAACAGGAGCAGGAGAGGAGCAGGAGCAGGAAGAAGCAGGAGCATGCACAGAACAGGAGCATGCACAGAACAGGAGCATGCACAGAACAGGAGCATGCACAGAACAGGAGCAGCAGCACACCCGCTCCCTAGGCTGCGTGCCCGATCATGCCTCTGAATCCAAAGCAGAAGTTCCGGCTGTGGCCACCTCCTCTAAAAGGCCAATGGCAGAGTTTAGGGACACCAAGTCCCATTGCAGATTCTGCAGGGCCCTTGTGCTCAGTATGTTTCTGGACAAGTACAAAGATCTGTGCTCAGTGACATGGCCCAGGGTCCTTCAGCATCACTCCCAGACCGGGCAGGCGGCAGATGACCCACCACACAGCTTCCTCCCACTATCCGGCCCTCACAGTGACTTTTCAGAGCACGGAGAAAGCTTCCCTCTGTTCCCTAAGTGACAGAGCAGCAGTTGTGGGAAGGGGATGGGGACTTGCCCTCACAATGACCTGTTACCAGGATTAGCTCCTGTGGGGTGTGGGTCAGCCTGTGTGACCCTGCCCTTCACAGTGGCAGCAGCACGGCCCGTCCAGTGTGCTCCCATGTCCCCGAGTGTTAATGCCAGTCCCTGTGGCCATGTGTCTTTCACCAGAGAAAAGCCCAACAAAGTCTCCTCCCTTGTCGCTCCTTCATTTCATCACTAGTAATTAAAGGAGTCTCTTTCTTTGGAATAAAAATTACACTCACCTTGAACCAAGTCCTTCGGGAGGAAGGACAGCTGTGGGCCTTGTGCGCCTGCGTCGGGAAGTGTGGTCTTGCCATCTTTGTTTATAACATCCTTGGTCAGTTCTTCCTTTTCTTATTTTCCAGTCTCTACTTGACCTCATCGGCATTCTGTGCAGAGGACTGCACGTCTCAGCAGACAAGGGTAGTTACGGGGGCAGAGAAGGTCGGGTGCCATTCAAAATTTTATCCTGTTTCCCAAACACTCATAGCGCATGTCCAAAGGCCCAGCAATGCCCGATGCTGCAAGGAGGCGAGCCTGGCTTCTCCGCCCCTGGTCGGTCCTGGTGCCCGAGCCTGCCCACTTGCCAGCAGGCCCAGGCAAGGATGAGTGCCACCGAGGGCAGGCTGCCCGGCCTGGTCCCGGGGCTCCGTTCCCTGCGTGCTGCTCACTCCCCTGCGCAGGAGGACGCGTCACTGCCAGGCTGTGGGCGTCTGCTGAGCCCTAATCACATGCAGGTGTGTGGCCCTTCAGCCACGGCCTTCGGAGGAGGCCCAGATGTCTTTGGAGCCTGAGCAGGGCGGATGTGCAGAGGCGGAACCCTGTCCCTCCGTGAGGGAGGGCGGTGCAGTCGCACTCACACCCCAGGCTGCAGTGGCCGCCCAGTCACGGTCACATTCCCCTCCCAGGGAAGAGGGATTTTCCCACAGACCTACCCAGCAAGAGGCTGCGATGTGGGGTCAGCGCAGGCTGAGGAACCGACGGAGATGAAAACGCAGCGCTGCCCCAGCACCGCCTTCCGAGTTGCCCGGACTCCCCCTGGGCGTGCTGCATGGGGCTAGCGCTCAGCAGGTGAGAAGCACATACTTGGTAGTTGCTAATCCCCAGCTCCAGAGGTTTTCTAGCCACAGGAGAATGGAAGTAACATTTGCAGCTGGAAGGGACGAGAATGGGCCATGAGGGACAGTGGCCTTGTTTTCCTGTCGCCCCCGGTGCCAGAGGGCGCCTGTCCACGTCCGACCTACCTGCCCCAGCTGCGCGAGCTCCCTGGGAGGACCCCGAGGAGCTAACAGCAGGCTCTTCTCACACCTGCACTTACATATTCAGTTGTGAGGATGGAGTCCCTGGGGTGAGACCCCGGCCAGTCCGACTGCCTGAGAGAATCCTGTTCCCTGAGAGCTTGCCCATTAGGCATGGCAGAAACTTTTCTTAACTTAGATAACAAAATGTATTGACTATTCCATGCGGCGGGCCAATCCTACAAGCTCCGAGGATACAGGGGTGACTGAGACCCAGGTCCATCTCCCAGGAGGCTCCTTTTAGGGGCAGGGAGGAGTGTTGATGGCGGGGTGGGGAGGAGCAATAATGCTAACTGCTTCACAGACACAGGGCCGAGACCACGAGGGCTCGGGGGAGGGGGGGAGGGCTCTGGGAGGCAGGAGCAGCTGGTATTTTGGGCCAAGTCTCTGGGGTTGGCACGGGCACCCTGGAAGCTGGAGCACTTGACGCAGAGGTCTTGGGGCTCAGGGCATCTTCAGAGCCGACAGCAGTGGCCGCACCTGGGCACCTGGGCTATGGCGGGCTGCAGAGGGTCAGAGCGTGACTGTCCCCTCAGCACCCAACCCCTGTCCGCAGGCTTTCTTCTCCAAATTCACTGCCCGAGGCATTGCTCCCACCCTAAAACGGTCGGTTGTATCCTTCGTTCTTTTAAAACGACTCCCTTCTTTCCCACCATCTACTCTTCACTTCCTGGCCAACCTGGCCCCCGTCTGCCCCTCCAGACGCCCTTCCCACCCCTCCAGGCTGCCCGGCCGCCCTCTGTGGCCTCCAGGAGGCAGCATGAGGCCGCGGAAGGGATGAAGGCTGGCTCTGGAGCAGCGGCCTACACTACAATCCCAGCCGTCACTCAGCAGCTGTGAGGTCTTGAGCAAGTCGTTACCTCTGCACCTTCGTGGTGATCTGTGAAGTGAGTATGTAACCTTGCAGGGCAGAGGCCCAGAGACCTGACAGTGTAGGGCGAGCAGCGGCTTCTTTCTCTGCCTCGCTCCCCTTCCCCAAGCCCAGCCAAGCTCCACCTGTCCGGGCCCGAGAAGTGGCTTCTCCGCTCTCCCTCTAGGAGTGGGCTCTTTACAGACCCCAGCAACCCCGAGCCTTCTCTGACCTCGGCAGCCCTGCCCGCGGCACAGGGCCCCTCCCCGGACAGTGCACAGACATCACGATGAATCCGACCTCACAGACGACAGGGAGGCAGGGGGCGATGGAGTCGCCTACATGTCACAGATGGTAAGGCCTCCAGAGCTCACCGCCTCATCACTCACACACACGCACGGAAGCATTATCTTTTGTGTAATTCCTAATGAAACAAAATGAACTTAAATCTCCTGAAATCTGATCCTTCCCTAAAAGAAATATCGAGACAAGGGACTTTTCCATTTCACAGAGAGATTCTGACTCAGGAGAACTGCTCAGCTTGCACCCCTGCTCCCCCAAGGAGACCAGGCCAGGCAAGCTCGTGAGTGCTGGTAAAAGATTTATTTCAAAAATGTATTTGGTACTTAGATGGTAAACAGGAAATAAGAGCCAGCAATATTTTATTTTTTACCATATTTTTAAGCTCTGAAAAACAAAATGGTATAATTTTATATACGTGGACTTTTGAAACATGGAATGATGTTGTAAAATAACACAGAAACGCTGGGGACGTTAGTCTTGATTTCAGTAGCATGATTCGCCCTGGACCGGCCCAAGTGCGCGAGTTGGTACACTGAGCCTCTCCTGCACGAGGCCCGCCAGCCGTGGGTCCAGCTGCCAGCACCGATTTCTAGGCCTACCCGCGCGGATGCCAGAGCAACAGGGTGCAGGCCTGTGCCGAGGGCCATGTGCGGACTGGCTCCCCTCTGGCCAAGAGCGCTCCTTGCCTGGAGCTTGGATCTTTCCCTCCAAAGTACTGCTCTGACGCAGAAGCCCTGCCTGCAAGCAACGTGCTCAGCTCACCGCGGGGTTGGCAGCCTATCAGGGCTGAACCTGTCGCCAGCGGGCTTTAGGTTTTACAGGAAGGCCAATACCCCATGTCCGTAAGCCCGAGGCACTGCTGCAGGAGAGTGCATGTTTCTCAGGTCCGTGGGATTTACCAGCCCGGCCCGGGGCTGTCAGTCTGGGGAAGGCAGCGGCACTGTTAGCTCATCCGGCCAGGGAACGGCTGCTTCTCTACTGGATCTCAAGGTGTCCTGAGAAGATCAGTCTACATAATGGAATGACTTGTTTTGGTTCATTAGCAAAATGATTTCTCTCCAACTAATATGCTAATGCAGAAATAGAACAATCATTTATGGCAATTCTCTATTCAGCAATTAAAGACACGCTGGAAAATTACTTACTAGCAGACTGTCAGAAGAAAACAATCACAATACAGCTCAGACTATCCACAGCGCCTAGCGCCGGATGAGGCTCACTGCGTGGCCCTCCACGGACTCCAGTGGGGAAGCATCCACAGACGGGGCGCGCACAGGGCAGGTCCAGGACGACTGGGAACTGCACGGCCGCTCCGCCAGGAGAGCAGGGCTGCAGGGAGCCCCCAGCCCGGCGGGCCGAGGCTCGGCACGCGGCTCGCTGGCTGTCTTGTGGCGGGAGGCACAGCGAGGATCCTTCAGCTCCTGTCCGGTGTGGATCAGAGGGATGTCGGTGAACTCTGTTCTCTAATGCACGTAGACCAGGAAGTCACACTCCTCCAGAAAGCTTCTCAGAGATGGACGCCGGCCAGTGCCGCCTCTGAGGCAGCGCTGCTTGGCTGTGCCCTGGTGGCCAAACGGTTGACTTGGTGTTGTGACATCGGTCTGCGGGCTGTCTGGGTACTGGATCTGATTCTGCCGGTCTCAGCCAAGACCTCTGTGAAGTTAGTTTGGGCTGATCTTCGCCCTCTGTCCCTAAGGGCGATTCAGGTCCACTGGCGAGATGCACTGCCCGTCACTCCTGCTGCTGGAACACGAGTGTCCTTCTCCTGACCTGATGCCCCTCCGAGCTCACTGTACACCGACGTTTCCTGGCCTCATGTTTCCTAATCCCCAGGACAGCCTTCCTACACTGTGACTCAAGGAAATACACTACATTTAGACCTCCTCTGGTCTGCAAGGGTCCTGCTTACCGAGGAAAGGGTATGGTGCCCCAGGCACCTCATGCAAGCATCAGACAGACACCTGCTTAGGTCACTGTGTCCCTGAGTCTTGGAAAGTGTGGCGGAACCTATGGAGCATTTCATCCACTGGGTTTACTTCGGCCTGTAGCACGAGAAGGTGGTAGTTTTAAGCCAAAAGGTTTTCACTTTTTTCCCTCTTCCAACATCAAACATTGCTAAGCACTTATCTACTAAGTCTACTAGTCACTACTAGGAGTCAGCACCCTGCTGCCTCCATGTCCCTCCCAGCTGTCAGCCCGTTTCTTTATGTCGTCATTTCTACTTTGGACAGGTCGTCCTTCAGCCAGTCGGCGACCATGCCAGCCATTTCCTGGTAAGAGTGGAGGACGAAAGCATGAGGAAGATTTTTCTCACAGAGCCGAATATCTCCGTCTGGGAAACTGTTCTTCATGTCTTCATAGTACTCTACTGGACACCAAGAATCTCTAGTTCCGTAGTAAAATATAAGCTAAAAGACAAGACAAAAACAGTTCATTAGAACACACCTTCCTCTCCCGATACAGACGACGACGCCAGCACCCTGAAAGCACCCTGCTCTGAAAACAGCCCCGTGCCTGGCCCTGTGCGCGTCCAAGGCTCCGTCCAGACGGTGGCGCTGCCGAGGCAGCGAGCCTTCACGGTTTGTGCGAGTGAATTAAGAGGCATCTGATGGGGAGACCCATGTAGGGAGAGCCGTGTGTGACAGACCGCCCACGAGTCACTAAAAGGACTCGCCAGCAAAGCTGTGTTGAGGCTGGGATGGCCATGGAGAGAGAGCCGAGGAGAACAGGATGAGCTCCTGAGACAGAAGTCACCGCTGAGCGACGAGTGGCCGTCCGTGACACGTCTAGGGGGTTTCATGCAGCCCCGTGGCAGGCACGTGGGGCATGTCTGTTGATTGCACACAAAGAGGAATCAGACAGACTCCAGCTTCTCAATGAGGCAGACGAAACGTGATCCGAGCCCTGAGCATGTCTATTTTTTCTACAAATAGCTCATGTGGCGGGAGAGATGCTGAGTCAGTGGGGAGGTGTTATAATCATACTTCAGGGGACAGAACCTCCTTTGAGGCATCATTAAGACTGATCTGCCCTGGCTGATTTGGCTCAGCAGTTAGAACATCGACCCATGAACCAAAGAGTCACGGGTTCGATTCTGGTCAAGGGTATGTGTGGATTAAAAAAAAAAAAAGATTGCCCTGGCCGGTTTGGTTCAGCGGTTAGAGCGTCGGCCTGCGGTCCTGAGAGACCTGGGTTCAGTTCCTGCTAAGGGCGCGTACCTCGGTTGCAGTTTGTCCCCGGCCCTGGTCGGTTGTGCGGGTGGCAGCCACTCGATGTGTTCCTTTCACATCGATGTTTCTCTCTCTCTCTGTTCCTCTCTCTTCCTCCCACTCTACCTGAACAAAAAATGGAAAAATGTCCTCGGGTGAGGATAAAAAAAAAATAAATAAATAAAAAAAAGATTGATCTATACCTGCCCATCATTCACACATACATATATGTATATATGTACATATATATGTGTCCAGCTCTAGGCTGTTCTTAACTAAAAACTATGTTCTGGTTCTTTTGTAGTTCTAAAACAAAAAGGCAAAAAAAGTGGAATCTTATTCAGAGTGGTACCTAGTGGTAATTTCTACAAAGAAGTAAGAACTAAGCTTTAAGGCCCCAGGACACCTGTTCTCACTGAAGAAGAGCTATGCCTGGCTCCTGCCCTTACGTGGCCAGTCACCCTCACTGGGGGTCTCCACAGACACCAGATCCGTCACTCACTCAGCCCTCGTTCACGGTCCTGTTCAGCAAATACTGAATGGGCACCTGCCCTGCATTAGGAACCTGGAAACCAGATACCAACGTACAGTTTCTGGGGGGAGCCTAGAGGCACCATGTACACAAGACAACCACAGAGCCGGGTGAGGGGCAGCTGGCAGGAACCAGTGGCAGGGAAGAGGTTCCCGGAGAGCTGAGTCTTCAGGTCAGGCAGCACACTGGGGAGCAGGCCACACAGAGCAGAGTGAAACGTCGGAAGGAACACGCGTGTTTGGGGATGCGAAGTCCATGTGGCTGGCTGTAAGGTGACTGCTCTGGCCACTTGTAGAGAAGTAAGTTTCCCAGACGCTGAGCAGCCACCCGGCTGCGGCTTCCCGTGGCCTACCGTGGGGAGGACAGCTGTCTGCAGGCTTAGTTATGTCAGTGGGGACAATGCCTTCAGTGCTCTCGAAACCAATGCCCACTCCTACCACCAAGAGCTCTTGAACTCTATCAGGAGACAGCGCACGGACAGTCACTGCACAACTGCCCGGCACTTCCTCAGGGTACGAAAAAGATTAAACGTGTTGAGAAATCTGGAAACTCAGACTTGGGCACAAGTCCATCAGTGTCCCTCTGCTCCAGGGCACTCTCTTGCCTGAGGACACTTGGATATGGAGAACGGCCCTCTGGGAGCCCTCCCACCAGGACGAAATACAGCAGCGAAGTCTTGGGAGAAACCCAAACAAGAGGGTCAACCAGGAGGAAAGCACGGCGGAGACCGCCGTCGAGTCCTCGGACGAGAACATATCACTGCGTGCACCTCCTGACGCTCTTCCCTGACATTTCAGACCATTTCTGTGGAGACTTCGCATTTACTATTTTTTATCGGAACTTACTGGAGTGACATTGGTTAATAAAATGATAGATTTCAGGGTTACAAGTTTACAACTTTATAACCCATCATCTGTATATTACATTGTGTTCGCCACTCCAAGTCAAGTCTCTTCCATCACCATTGATCCCCCCTTTACCCTCTCCTACCTCCCCACCCCCTTTCCCTCTGGTAATCACCATGCTGTTGTCTGTGTGTGAGATTACCCCCTAATTCCTTCACCGGTTTCACCCAGGCCCCTACCCACTCCCCCGACAGCCGTCAGTGTTCTCTGCGTGGGTACCTTCCAGGATCAACAGGCAAGCTGTTACGGGCACTGCCCACAGCAGGTCGAGGGTCCTCAGCAGGAGATGTGTGTGTGAGGCAGCGGCAGCCAGGAGTCTGGATTCCCAGGATTTTAGTTCCTGATCCTCCTTGACCAGTAACCACTTGGAGCGGGCCGTGCTGGTTACATCTCGAAGTTCTGTGGGGTCATATCTTTTTGTTTTTCAAGCTCTCCATCAGGCTGTATTCACTAAAGGGTTCTGTGGGAATCTTGGCTTACAAGTAAAACACGTGGTTGTTCCTAGTGCCTTTGCATACACTGGCTGGGGATACTTCCTGTTCCCTGACTGTGAGTCACCGGCAGTAGATCTGAGGAGGGGTCTGCGTCTGTAACCCTACACAGGAAACTAGAGAAGTGGGGGGCCTGGAGCTAGGGGACAGGGCGGGCAGGTGAGGGAGGGAGAACTGGACACGGAGGCACAGCTGTTAGGAGTGCGTGCTCTTCGGTCGATGTGTAGGGATGAGTCACAGGTGACAGTGACCTGGAAATGTGCCAGGCGCTGTGCTCGGCTCCGTGCTCCTGGGTCCTTATGACAGCACTGGGGAAGATGCTTTACACAAAGGGAAACTGAGGCTTGGAGAGACCAACTTGCTTACGTTGACACAACAGTGAGTTGTAAAGCTGGGTCACACATCCAGAGACAACACCCCTATCGGTACCTTTCATTACTCTTTACGGTCAACAATGAACTGACCATGTCATTATAACACCAAACCTGAAGACTGGGAGGTCTTAACCTGGATATGAGAACTGAGTAAGACAACCAAGGGCAGGCACAAACCCAACTGCCTTCACTTAAGGTCTCCTTAGGTTGTCGCATGTCTCAGGGGTGAAAACTACTGTGAAAATGCTGGAAACGTTAACTAGGAATCTCAGGCTACCAGCAGAATGTTTCCATTCAAAGGCTCGTAAGAAACAAAATTATTCCCTGCAGGTTATTTCTCCTTGGCACCTGCTTTGATGTGTATGAGAATGGACAACAACACACATTACTGAGATGGAAATTATCCCGTGTTCCCAAACTGTCCTCATGTTAAGCGATCCATTTCTCCACTGAACACACAGCTGAATTTTCTCAGTCCTCGATTCTGATTTCCCAGGACGTGCTTCTGCATTCCCTTGCGTGTTTTCCGCAGCAGGGTGGGGCAGACGTCGTTCTCCGTTCCCTTCAGGATGCGCAGCCTCCACTGGACGGAACCCACACCTGTCATCCCTCCACGTCTGTTTTCTTCCTTTGTTAACAATTTATCTTTATTGTTGAAAGTATTATAGATGTCCCTCCTTTTCACCCACATTGACCCCCTCTCCTGCCCCCACACCCTGCCTGTGTTCATTGGTTATGCATACAGGCAAATACGTTCTGTGTTTATCTCTTCCCTGTCTCTGGATCTATTTTGTTTGTCAGCTTGTCTTGTTCATTATATTCCACAAATAAGAGATCATGTGATACTTGTCTTTCTCTGACTGGCTTATTTCACTTAGCACAATATTTCCTTTTTCTTTTGACTTTTTGCTCCTAAAACTGCCAGAGTCACCGATGACTCCAGGCTTGTCTCCCATCTGGTACTGGCCAAATAGCTGAAATTCAGAAGTAAGACAGTCTTGCCCGGGAGAAGCTCCCAGAGGAGGGAAAAACACAGGCGTGTGCACACTGGCCCGCAGACACAGCAGGCAGAGAGGTGTGAGCAAGGGGTAGGAGCCCAAAGCAGGAAACCTGGATTCTAAAGAGTCAACAGAGCTTTGTTATTATACATTCTGAGTTGCTGGCTTTTATGCATTAATAACAGAGAATTTATTATAAGAACTAAAAAAATATTAGAAACCATCTTGTGACCCAAGTTTATAAATTCGATTTTGCTAGTAACTAATAAAAATCACTTCTAATGATATACTAACATCTTAAATATTAAACATGAAAAAGCTATATACAAATATCTCTAGTGATATATATAATATTCAGCCATAAAAAGTGAAAGAGTCCTGGCCAGTCTGGCTCAGCAGTTAGAGCGCTGGCCCATGGACCGAAGGGTTGAGGGTTCGATTCTGATCAAGGGCACATGCCAGGGTTGCAGGTTTGATCCCCAGCCCTGGTTGGGGTTGTGCGGGAGACAACCAATCAATGTGTCTCTCTCACACCGATGTTTCTCTCTCTCCCTCCCTCCCTCCCTTCCATTCTCTCTAAAAATCAATGGAAAAATATCCTTGGGTGGGATCAACAACAACCACAACAACAACAGGAAAGAAATGCTGCCATTTGAGATAACGGGGATGGACTTGGGGGCGTCTGTAACCTCACGTCTATGTGGAATCCTAGCAAAGCGAACTCAGAGTAACGAGAACAGATCTGTGGTGGCCAGAGGCAGGGGTGGGAGTAGGGGACTGGGTGAAGGTCAAAAGGTATCAACTTCCATTTATAAGATGAGTTAAGTCCTGAGAATATAATGGTGATTATACCTAACAGTACATACTGTAAAAGCTGTTGAGAGAGTAGGCCTTAAGAG